ATGATTTATATTTTTTTATGTTTTAAATTTTTAGTTCCTTATTAAAAACTAGCTGGCCCGGTCCGCGTTGCCGGCCCGTACTTTTTGTCTATTATGCACATTTTCCCAAGCATAATTATCCACAGATATGACTGATATAAATGTTCACGTACATGTCGATTTAAAGTGTTTTAAAATACCTGTACCCATTTTTAAGCTGTGGGCTTCAATATTTAAACCGTGGGCTTCAACTATGTGGATGTGCTATACAAATCTATTAAAAAGTATATATCAATCTTATCGCCATATAACGGATCAAATTAATTTTTAATATGGTAAAAATCGTAGCAAAATCTTTCAGTCAAATGAGCAGTAAGATTTTCAACCTCCCCCCCCACTAATAAACATTATTAGCCAAATTCTTTGAAATATGGTTAAATTAGGAGGTACTTTCTTTATACTCCGAAACATCGACCTACATTGAAAACTTTCTTCAACCCCTTATAATCCAAGATGACAAATAGAGGCCAAATCAAAAATATAGCACAACAATATAGCATGTCATAGCTTTTCGCGTGATTTAAATAAGTAAAAATAGTTTTATCCACCTCATAATTGAGGGCAGAATGATAAGATGGGATTTAATTTTATTTGTCATTTAAATTGTAAGTTGGAGACCCCTTAAAGTCCATATTTTCATCATGGTATAATTCAATGATGATTCAACAAATATTCGGTCCCGTGCTACTTTGTTATATTTGTAATTTGTTCATGTTTCCACAATTTATTTCATATAGATGCACATCCCAAATCTACGTTCCCAACCAATATTCTTTTGGGGGTTACAAATTCAATAGAATACAAAATTTTCTTTTCTGACCACACATTAGATGTGAAAGTGGACTTGGGGATACTCCAATGTGGGGACTTTACTTAAATTAATTCCTATGTGGCAATTATCTGTATGATGGTTCCCTACCCTAGGGTGGCATATATAAATTTTTTTAGCCAAATCAATTGATGAATGTGGTCAATACCAATATGGGCCCTACTCTGAAAATTTCAAATTTTATGCGAAGAGGTTCTCTACCCCCTTGGAAACAAAAATGTCAAATAAGGGTCAAAAAATGAAAAAAGTGGCCAAGACCCCAAAAATAGCTTAAATCATAGATGGTTATATAAGTATGAAATCGGGTTGTTTCCTTATCCGTGAGTTATGCAAAACGATTTTAGGTATTTTGAATATTTGGGAAGAATTTCTGGAAGGATATAAAACCTTTTCTTACTAAAAGTCCCATTCGCTCTACTATCTTGCACCTTTTATATTTGGTATTTTACTAATTATTCTCCCAAAGAATTTTGCATTTTGAGCTCTCATTGGACGGATCATTGTCACGCTTTGAAATGAGTTTAAATGTGTTCGATGTAGGCCCTGGAGTTGAAAGGTAGATGTCAGTCAACATCCTATTTCGCACTTATTTCATTTTTTTAGTGAAAAATTATTCTTTATTTGGTTCACAAAAAATCCACTGAATTCAATATGATAATACAAATTGAAAAAAAAAATGACAAAAAAAAGAATAACAAATTGAAAAAATCTTCAACTTGTTCGCTGATTTTTACAGCAAATGTTTAAAGATCCTTACAAAGTTTGTCAATAGAGTGTACTATTACTTTAAAATTCGATTCCATTGAAATTTTTTTTTTTTTAATTTTTTCCAGATTCGAGAATTTTTGCAATGAGATCTTTTTTTCATGATTTTTTAGCGATTTTGAAAAAGTATCTTTTAACGTTGGTATGACCGCGTTAAATTATTTCGATATCATCTATTCCGTTTCGCCACCACATAATTCGGTACTACACTTCCATGTAACCCGCCATCAATTTTAGTTCTCAAGAAATCAAGTCAATTAAATAAATTGGTATTAATATTCGAATTCAAAAATAAAAAATATAAAAAAACACTACAAATGTACATTAGAAAAAATAAGTCAAAATGGAAAAAAATCATGCAAAATAAAACATTACTGTTGTACATTTGAAAAGTCAAAATGAAAATGTTAATATATCACGTTTTTACGCGATTTTTTTGGATATTATCCTTTTCGGAGAGGAGACAACTCCGAATTTGTGTGAATCGTTAAAATCAGTCCAGCGGTTCTTAAGTTATAAACGTAGTAACTAACACAACTTACATTTATATATATACTAGCTGACCCTGTCCGCGTTGCCGGCCCGTAGTTTTAGTCTATTATGCATATTTGTCAAAGCATAATTATTCAAAGATATGACTGTTATAAGTGTTCATGTACTGGTCGATTAATTTTTAGTTTTTAGTCAAATGAGCAGTAATTTGGAATTTACTGTATTTTGTACACCTCATAATTGAGGGCTGAATGATTTAAGAATAGCCAAAGTTAATTACTTTTTTAAACCCATTAACACCTCAGATTGTGCATTAGAGTTCTCATAAGTCCGCCAAAAGGTGGACTTGTGGGGGTACTATTACATGGAGAAAATTCTAAAATTTGTAGATATGTTGAAATTTTTGTGTACGATTTTCACCCCCCCAAATACACATTTTTAGCCAAATCCTTTGAAATAAGGTAAAATCAGGAAGTACCTTCATATGGGCACTACTGCGAAACATCGACCTACATTGAAAACTTTCTTCACCCCTTATAATCCAAGATGACAAATAGAGGCCAAATCGAAAATATAGCAGAACAACATAGCATGTCAAACTGAAAAAAATTCACGTGATTTAAATAAGTAAAAATAATTTTATCCATCTCATAATTGAGGGCAGACTGATTTCAGGATAATCAAATATAATTACTATTTTACTCCAATTACCGTAAGATGGGAACTAATTTTATTTGTCATTTAAATTGTAAATTGGAGACGCCATAAAGTCCATATTTTTCATCATAGTATAATTCAATGACGATTCAACAAATATTCGGTCCCGTGCTACTTTCTTATATTTATAATTTGTTCTTGTTTTTCACAATTTATTTGATTTGGGATGTACATCTATATCTACGTTCCCAACCAATATTCTCTTGGGGGTTACAAATTCAATAGAATAAAAAATTTTCTTTTCTGACCACACATTAGATGTGAAAGTGGACTTGGGATACTCCAATGTGGGGACTTTACATGAATAAATTTCTATGTGGCAATTATCTGTACGATGGTTCCTTACGCCAGGGTAGCATAAATACAATTTTTTAGTGGTCAAGACCAATATGGGCCCTACTCCGAGAATTTTCTACTCCCTTAGAAACAAAGATGCCAAATAAGGGCCAAAAATAGAAGAAAATGACGAAGACTTCAAAAATAGCTTAAATCATACAATGGTTATTTATGATCGATATCATATATCATATTGCAGGTCATGCAAAAGCGATTTAAGGTATCTTAAATGTTCGGGAAGAATTTTTGGAAGGATAGAAATCCTTTTCTTACTAAAAGTCCCATTCGCTCTACTATTTTGCACCCTTTATATTTGGTACTTTACTGATTGTAGTCCCAAAAATTTTTGCATTTTGAGCTCTCATTGGACGGATTATTGTCACATGTAAGAAGTAGGTCCACGCTTTGAAATGAGCCCCATTAGTCTTTTTCGGTCATTTTTGTTTGTTTAAATGTCTGCGCATCTTCCAGCTGAAGCACGATGTAGGCCCTGGAGTTAAAAGGTAGATGTTAGTTACAATCGTATTTCGCACTTATTTCATTTTTTGGTGAAAAATTGTATATAGTGAAAAATTATTCTTTATTTCGTTCACAAAAAATCCACTGAATTCAATGTGATAATACAAATTGAAAAAAAAAAATGACAAAAGAATAATAACAAATTGAAAAAATCTTCAACTTGTTCGCTGATTTTTTACAGCAACTGTTTAAAGATCCTTACAAAGATTGTCAATAGAATGTACTTTTATTTTAAAATTCAATTCCATTGGACATTTTTTTCGATATTTTCCCGTTTTGAGAATTTTTGTAATGATATCTCTTTTTTCGTAATTTTTTTTAGCGATTTTAAAAAGGTTATTATCTTCTAACTTTGGTGTGACCGCGTTAAATTATTTCGATATCATCTATTCCGTTTCGCCACCACATAATTCGGTACTACACTTCCATGTAACCCGTCATCAATTTCAGTTCTCAAGAAATCAAGTCAATTAAATAAATTGGTATTAATATTCGAATTCAAAAATAAAATATAAAAAACACTACAAATGTACATTAGAAAAAAGTAAGTCAAAATGGAAAAAAATCATGCAAAATAAAACATTACTATTGTACATTTCAAAAGTCAAAATGAAAATGTTAATATATCACATTTTTACGCGATTTTTTTGGATATTATCCTTTTCGGAAAAGAGACAATTCCGAATTTGTTTGAATCGTTAAAATCTGTCCAGCGGTTCTTAAGTTATAAGCGTAGTAACTAACACAACTTCCTTTTATATATATAGATACTTTGTATTTCTTTGCCTTTTATAAACTTCAAATTGAAAAATGCAGATAGTGCAATTTTATAGACATTTCACTACCAATTGCATGGTAGGCAGACAGCATATGGTTCACTACATGTTCATAATATTCACTTTTTTATTTCTGAGAAAATGTTTGCATACTAAAACAAAATCAATCCATGCATTTTTTTCTTCCGGTTTCATTTGGGGTATGAAATTGTCATTTTTTACCAATTCCCCTATTTGGGGTTGTTGGTCCCCATACATGCTGATTTAAAATTAAACTCGTGTTTACTGTACATGCGTTCATAATATATATCTTACCTTCTTTTAATTTTCCTGCTCAAGACATTTGAACTTTGGTCGATTTTTATCTAGAGCTTTCACGAATTGCTTTATTAATCCCAACTTTATGTGCAATATAGGTAAAATGATGTCTTTTGGATCGATTAATGGGATATTTATGATCTTGTTCCCACCAACAATCACCATTGAACGCGGTTTCTAGCCTTTTTTTTAACAATAAAAACTATTCATTTTTATTTTAGTTTTTTAATTATTTTTCTTCTATAAGAATTTTATGATTTATTTTTTAAACATTTGAATACGATAAAAACATCAGCTGATGACAGTTATTCGGAATAACACAATGCAATACGAATTCAGAACTCACTTTATCCCATGTCGAACGTGGGAAAAGTTGTGTTGCAAAGTTCTCGACAGAGGCGTCCAGTTTAATGGTATTTGTATCTTCTGTGGTGTCTCATCTTGCCGTAGTTGATGGCATAGAAGAATGTCATAGCGGCAGCAGTGAGTTGCAGGAATGGAGCAATTCCAGCACGTTTGGGTTGAACGTACTTGTGATTCCAACGCCACCAGACACGACTGAAGGCACCAGCAATCCCAGCAAACCAGGCTCCCAATTCACCCAATTTTACTTGACCGAAGGGAACATCAGCTTTGCCATAATAGCGAGCTGGGTCATAAGGACCATGTACCTTGGGGTTGTATTCAGCGAGATAATCACCAAAAGCCATGTTGAAATCTTTTACGAGTTCTTCCAAAAACTGTATGTAATGTTTTGAATGTAATGTTTGGAAAAGTCCCGGCTGTCCCATTCACAGAAATAGCAAGGATACTTTGTGTTGCCACCTTGTAAGCCGTACAGCATTGTCAACACTTTCAAATCAAACACTATTAGCTATTTATGCGTACTGTAATCTATAGCAGTTAGTATTACAGACATGCTGTCATACGATTCCTTGATTTGAGTGGGGTAAGACAATGGTACAGAAGGGAGCAATCCATCATTTTGCCTGGCTATAGAAGATAAATATATGTAAACAAAAAATAAAATATATAAAATTATTTATATTACTTTTTGTTGATCCATCAATAAATAATCACCAATCCTGTGGTACATGACTATATCCAAGTTGCTCCAACAATTTGTTCACATCATTGCAGTAGGCCAAATTACTATTTCCAGTGCTTTCGTTGAAAAGTGGTGCTTTGAAATGTAATGCTTATATTTTCTTGGAAATAGTTCTACTGCTTAAGTTACTCCAGTTTGTCTTTTTTTGTCTTTTCGAAATTCCCTTGGGATATCAAGTGTGGTTTTCCTTATTCTCCTTCGGAAGCGGCATATTCTGATATGGGGATTCCAAGTGTACTTTGGGATGCTTCAGATTCAGTTGAACTTGGTGATACAGCTATAACCGGTTTCGGAACAACGTCGTTTTTCTTACGCGGTACTGTCTTTATTACACTATCAACATTTGCGTACTCTATACATTGTCTTATTTTGAAACGATATTCACTTGTCTTAGTTAAACAGAAATAGCAATTATATGGACTATGTACACGTAGTGGAAGCCAAATAACCGGCTCAGCAAACGAAATCCATCAGAACAATCTGCAGATTTTTTCTCGAAGCTTAGTGTTACGTAACAAAAAAAGCAAACCGATGGTATATACCCACATTCTAAGGGACGATCACAATATTCTTCATAGATTGGAATAATATCCTTTTTTTGCGACACATATATTTTAAGTTTTTAATCCGCAAACAATTCACATATACAACAAACGTCATTCCTTTTATCGCACTTTAATATAAGTTTTTAGTTCTCTTATTTTTTAATTAAATGCCATTATTGTTCAAACCAAAATTCCGATTCATTGCAGATATTATACTGTGCCAGTTTCCTCAAAGTATTTAACTTATTAAAAGGCGGCATTATAATATTAAAGATATATTTCACAGAAACAGTTAAAACGACGTATTTTCTATGGTATTTTTATTGAATGAATCACTTTTTTAATACTAAAGTAGATACGATGGCCATTGGTGGTTAATTTGTTGTATGTCAAAATTTGTTGGTCCCGTTGTAGCATTTACCTATTCAACCCAATCACGCTTACCTTTTTAGCCCAAACAAAATATGACCATTGAAAGATCATTGAAACTAGCAGGTAATATTGTTTATTTAATATGATAGTTTTACTTATTGAAACATTTTATACCATCCACCATAGTATTAAGTTTGTCATTCCGTTTGTAACACCTCGAAATATACATTTTAGACCCCACCAAGTATAGGACTTTTAGTATTGAAAATGGGCCATGTAGGTCTACATTTTGGTATAGCCCCGAGGAATCGATACGAAGTATACGAAGCACCAACTGATTTTCACCATAGATGGAAAACGCGTGAACAAATTCTGCAAGCATACGAACAAATCGGCTAGAATACGGCAATATCATTGGTTGACGTTCTGTGTATGACAGCGTTAGAGACTTAGATAAACTTAGATATATATATATACATATATATATATATATTTTTTGGAAATTTGCGATCGTTTGGAGTTGAAGGGCACTAGTCAATTTTCAGGAAAATTTCCAACTTCTTGAAATGAACGCTGCTATCTCGTTGTTTAAATAAAATACAGCTAATATTAGAACTATTTTTAGTGTAAAAAATTTTCCTCGACACAATGGAACTATTCCCAGAGTCCTAAGTCTATTAGTTTCCGAGATATTTGCGATAGTTTGAAGTTGAATGACACCAGTCAATTTTCAGGAAAATTTCCAACTTCTTGAAATGAACGCTGCTATCTCTTTGTTTAAATAAAATACAACTAATATTAGTACTATTTTTAGTGTAAAAGTGTTCCTCGACACAATGGAACCATTCCCAGAGTCCTAAGTCTATTAGTTTCCGAGATATTTGCGATCGTTTGAAGTTGAATGACACCAGTCAATTTTCAGGAAAATTTCCAACTTCTTGAAATGAACGCTGCTATCTCTTTGTTTAAATAAAATACAGCTAATATTAGAACTATTTTTAGTGTAAAAATGTTCCTCGACACAATGGAACCATTCCCAGAGTCCTAAGTCTATTAGTTTCCGAGATATTTGCGATCGTTTGAAGTTGAAGGGCACTAGTCAATTTTCAGGAAAATTTCCAACTTCTTGAAATGAACGCTGCTATCTCTTTGTTTAAATAAAATACAGCTAATATTAGAACTATTTTTAGTGTAAACAATTTTCCTCGACACAATGGAACTATTCCCAGAGTCCTAAGTCTATTAGTTTCCGAGATATTTGCGATCGTTTGAAGTTGAATGACACCAGTCAATTTTCAGGAAAATTTCCAACTTCTTGAAATGAACGCTGCTATCTCTTTGTTTAAATAAAATACAACTAATATTAGAACTATTTTTAGTGTAAAAAATGTTCCTCGACACAATGGAACCATTCAAAGAGTCCGGACATACATATCTCGTTGGGTGCATCAAATATGTAAAGTCGGCCGAAAATATATATTGGAGCTATATCCAAATCTGAAGCCATTTGAATATAATTAGACAAACTTATTTTTGTACAAAATTTAGTCACTCATTACAAATTTCATTGGAATCGACATACGTATGGTGTTTGGTGCACCAAATAAACGAAATCGGTCGAAAATATATCTATGGGAGCTATATCCAAATCTGTACCGATTTCAATATAATTTGGCAAATGTATGTTCGGTTTAAATTCCGTCAATCATTCCAAATTACATTGGAATCGAACAAACATATCGTGTTTGGTGTATCAAATAAACGAAATCGGTCGAAAATATATATGGGAGCTATATCGAAGTCTGAACCAATCTCAATATAATTAGGCAAACAAATGTTTTAGACAAATTCCATCACACATTCATCATTTTATTGAAATTAGAGGCACACAGCGTGTTTAATGCATCAAGAAATGAAATCGAAGGAACATGCATACATACAAAATCGAAATTTTTTGAGGAATCGGAGGTACCGATTTTGTATGTACATATCTATTTGTATGTACATATCTATTGATCGATTACAGATACAATCTCCAAATTTGAAATGCGTTGCGGAATTCGAAACAAAAATCATTTTGCCAAAATATATTGAAATCGGTTCAGATTTAGATACAGTTCCCATATATATTTCCGTCGATTTCATTTTTTGATGCATTAAACACGCTGTGTGCCTCTAATTTCAATAAAATGATGAATGTGTGATGGAATTTGTCTAAAACATTTGTTTGCCTAATTATATTGAGATTGGTTCAGACTTCGATATAGCTCCCATATATATTTTCGACCGATTTCGTTTATTTGATACACCAAACACGATATGTTTGTTCGATTCCAATGTAATTTGGAATGATTGACGGAATTTTAACCGAACATACATTTGCCAAATTATATTGAAATAGGTACAGATTTGGATATAGCTCCCATAGATATATTTTCGACCGATTTCGTTTATTTGGTGCACCAAACACCATACGTATGTCGATTCCAATGAAATTTGTAATGAGTGACTAAATTTTGTACAAAAATAAGTTTGTCTAATTATATTCAAATGGCTTCAGGTTTGGATATAGCTCCAATATATATTTTCGTCCGACTTTACATATTTGATGCACCCAACGAGATATGTATGTCCGGACTCTTTGAATGGTTCCATTGTGTCCAGGAAAATTTTTTACACTAAAAATAGTTCTAATATTAGCTGTATTTTATTTAAACAAAGAGATAGCAGCGTTCATTTCAAGAAGTTGGAAATTTTCCTGAAAATTGACTGGTGTCATTCAACTTCAAACTATCGCCAATATCTCGGAAACTAATAGACTTAGGACTCTGGAAATGGTTCCATTGTGTCGAGGAACATTTTTACACTAAAAATAGTTCTAATATTAGTTGTATTTTATTTAAACAAAGAGATAGCAGCGTTCATTTCAAGAAGTTGGAAATTTTCCTGAAAATTGACTGGTGTCATTCAACTTCAAACTATCGCAAATATCTCGGAAACTAATAGACTTAGGACTCTGGGAATAGTTCCATTGTGTCGAGGAAAATTTTTTACACTAAAAATAGTTCTAATATTAGCTGTATTTTATTTAAACAAAGAGATAGCAGCGTTCATTTCAAGAAGTTGGAAATTTTCCTGAAAATTGACTAGTGCCCTTCAACTCCAAACGATCGAAAATATCTGGGAAACTAATAGACTTAGGGCTCTGGGAATGGTTCCATTGTGTCGAGGAAAATTTTTTACTCTAAAAGCATTTCTAATATTAGTTGTTTTTTATTTAAACAAAGAGATAACAGTCTTCATTTCCATAAGTGGGAAACTTTCCTGAAAATTGACTAGTGTTCTTCAACTTCAAACGATCGCAAATATCTCGGAAACTAATAGTCTTAGGACTCTGGGAACGGTTCCATTGTGTCGAGGAACATTTTGTACACTAAAAACATTTTATGAGGCAATGTGGGTCCATAGGGTTCTTTGCCAAAACCAACCAAGAAATTTTCGTCTAATTTCATACCACCATTTTCATGGTCAATATCAATTTTAACAATGTGACCACCCTTCTCCACCATTTTGGGATATATTTCGGCCGATTTCGTGTATGCTATGTACCAAACACGATATGTATGTCCCATTCCAATGAAATTCAGAAAGTGTGGCGGAACTTGCTTACAATAATAAATTTGACATATTAATTAGAAATCGGTTAAGATTTGG